AGTTCCATGTTGAATAATTATGTCATAACATTCACTTTGCTTTCACAGGAATAAATAATGCGTAATAGGGGTTAAATAGGCTGTCTTAATGAACTCTGTATATTTACTGCAGAGATGCAATAATTTATTAAAATCTCTACTTCCTAATAATGCTATTAACTGAATTGATGCTATGAATGTATGAGCATTTGAATCTATAAGACAACAAATGTTTGGTACTTATATTTTCTCCCTTTCAACAAAGCATCAAGAATGACTTTTGCTATTGCTGATACATCTACTTTGACCTGGTTTTTGTTCTATCCTTGTTTCAACCATTAATGTTCGCGAAGCTTGGAACTGAAGAATCTTTATCTGGAGCAGTTTGCCATTGTAATGATCTTTTAGCTTTAAGACAACATAAATTAGGTTTAGAGTTACAAACCTTTTAAATTTTATGAATAACTCGCCCAAAACTTCAATACAAAAATATATTTTCCACCTTTAATGCGTAACCAGTGAGTATTAAATACATTAATCTTCGTAATATTTTCCCTTAAACTTCTTACTGGATTTTGCTCTCAACTCTTAACTGCCTACTGTTTGAGGATTTTATAACATTTTTTTAAATTACATGTGCTGAAAGTAACCTTTACGCCACTCCAAGATTCAGTTGCTACTGAAAATTGACTTGAGTGCTTAATCAATCCACAACGAAGTCTTTCCTTGCAATTGAAGGAAGACAAAAAAGTGAAGGAATTCAGGGATGAAGGTCGTTGGATATGATTTTTTGATTTTTTTATACTATAATCCAATAGTCTCCCTGGTTGCCGATAATATTATTATTTTCGCCATTTTTTGCATAGTGGGTGTAGATTTTACCATTTTTAGACACGTCAAAGAGCTCATTTAGCAAGTTCAACCCTTTTAATTATTTGATTTCATTTTTTTCCATGCAAATGGAGAATGTATTTTAAACATATTTGGTTTACAAAGTGCTCAAGAGAGCACTTTGTTCTTGTTCTAATATTTTGTTTTGGGTTTGCTTTTAGGGTTTAAGCATCACTTTTTGTTTCTTGTGTTACGATGGTTGCTTGCATCTCCTCTTCCTTCCCTTAATGGACATATATGATACTTTTTCCTCTTTTTGCACGAGAATAAATATTACTTGCTAGACATTTAATGAGTACATCCTCATCAACCAATAATTCGACGTTGACGAACGTGATAGTTGAAGTGTCAAACTACTTTTTTTATTCATACTTTAGATACATCTTATTTTATTTCCAGTTATGTTAATGCGAGGATTACCAGTAAACAGCTCAGATATTCTTTTAACAACTTGTGGATTATTTGTGTGAGAAAAGTATTGGTCAATTTTCAGCATTTCATTTTTATGTCCTTTCTTGTGCCCTCAAGGGGGGTGGGGGGATGTTTGTCATTCTATTTAGTTTGGAGGAAAAGCTGCATTTGATAGGGTTACTGTAAATTGGATATAAAGATATCATTGAATAATTTTTTCCCCTTTTGGCAGGCTGAGAGTGCAATTGCAGCTTTGAACTGCAGTGGTGCTGTCCTAGGATCACTTCCGATAAGGTTTATAATCCTCTATTATGCTTGTAATTTGTTCAATGTACACTTGTTATCTAGTAAGTAATCTCTTGTTTTCAGGGTTAGCCCATCGAAGACACCTGTTCGACCGCGCACACCTCGCCAGTCCATGCACTAAACTGCAGCCAATCATCTGATAAACCTATCTATCTATATATGTGCAAAGTTAGATACTGTTGCTTGTGGTGCTTTGTGGCATTTATATTTCTAGTTTTTCTCCTTTGGGTCTTGACTGAGTCTCTGTCACTTGCAAAGGGTTTTTATGGTTGTATGTTCAGCTTGCAGTATTGGAACTTTTCTGAGGCTTATGTTGACATAAATCATGTTGCACATTATGCTAAGTTCAATAGGCAGCGCCTCAATGTACTGATACTGTTTCATGCTTCTAATTTGTAGAAAAACTTCACTAATTTCTTTTTGACTTTTATCTATTAATGATCAACCGTGATGATGATGAACCTTTCCTTACCCGTTTCTGTGTTGTACTACCTGTCTAAAAGGACGATTTTCTTAATCGGTAGTGTTTAACAGAGTGGATTTTCTGATGCAGAAGTTGGGAAAATTTTCTCGACTTACTGCTCTGTTTTGTCTGAGTTCTGAGATGACTTCTTCAAGCTTAAATTCATGTTGTATGTATTTGACTTGATAACTCAGATATGTATCCTGTTATTGTATATATAGCTTTGACAATTTTGTGAATGAGAGGAAATTCTTGAATGTTTGGTGGAGGTGTAAAATGGGACGAGTTATGCCATTGATATTTGTTCTTTATACGAAAATGCTTTTTTAACCAAAACACTTTGTTAGAAAGCATATAGATTTTTTTTCAGTTCTCCACATCAATCACTTTCTTCTCTACTTTGATCTTTGGAATGGAAATATAGAGAACCCCATCGGCCTTCACTTCATCCTTCTCACAATTATCAGGAAGTTGCGGCCTAGTGTCGTAGGAATTGTATCCCCTGCTCGACCACTCATGTTGTTTACGTTCTTTCTCGTGCTCGCCTGTAATGACGAGTATGTTGTCCTTCACAGAGACTTAGACGTCTTCTTCTGAGAGTCCTGGCATGTCAAAGTGTAAACTGATTTCATTTTCTTCATTTTTGATATCCCATGGCGAGCGTTTGGTGCAATGTCCTTGTTGAAGACAGCGGCTCTAGTAATACTATCATCCATAGTAATAAGTGATTATGCTGTTAGAGAGACTAAAGCTGCAGGGGAAAAAAAATGTAAACTTACCGGAAGGAGAGATGTCCATAGCCAACCTCAAGGGCCTGGATTGTATGGTGGCGAATCGATTGTTTCTGTTGAATGATGCGCGTCAGAAAAACACACTATTTACGTCTTTGGTAAATTTAGAGAAGGGTTATAATTATAGTGATCCTCCTATTCAACTACTTCAATCATTTCCGAGCATCTCATAACGTTTTTGGGGTAGTGTTCATGGTGGTGCTTCAGGATTTCAATGTACTACGTCCAAGTCCAAGATCATAACGAGCTTGTTGGTGGACCACTGCCGTACCATTCTTGAGTGAGCTGGAGCGCAGCCATCTTATCCAACTATTTGTCCCAACAACATTGTTCTAGGCTAAAGGAAAAGGGGCACATGCTAAGAACTCAGTAGCCATTTATTGTAACCTCAAAACACAAAGTGCAGAGAACAGATCGTGGGAATGGCGATTGATACGTGTGCAGTATGAACGTTTGATTTTGATATATATATATGTTATGGGTGAGTGGAAGGGGTTGGGATTGAGGATTTTATAGGCAGAAAAGAGAAGGGGGGTGGGGTAGAGGAATTTTCTGGTTCTGGAGTCGCATTTCAATTCATCCAGGTTCCTAACTGAAGAAGTTTTTTATATTTTTTATACACATTTTATAACTATTGATTCTTATACCGGAGTGGAGTGAGACTTAGGACGGGGTTTCCTAGCTCCATTTTCAAGTCATTACCCTATTAGTAGTGAATGCGATTCTTGGATGGTTTTTAAATTATTTTCAAATAAATCATTTTTTGCAGTTTGATTTGGTATCGAAGCACAATTTTAGTGACATAAAAATTAAATATATTGATCTGAAATTTTATTATAATACTAAAATTGATTTGTTTCAATACATGCTTAACAAATAAATTAATACGAGTTCAATAATAAAATTAAAGCTTGGAAGTTCGTCTTTTAGATTAAAAAAAATATATATTATCATAAATAAATTATTATTTTTTAAAGAGTAATAGAAGTAGACTGGCAAGTATATTTGTTAAATTATAAATCGATATAATAAATAATATATTTTGATTCAAATAAGTTTTTTTTAATGAATAGTGGGTGAATAGTTTAAATTTGGTTTCAGTTAATTTTTAATTAAATATTAAAACATAAACCGAACCATTTTTGAACCGTTTGATCCATATTAACAGTTTCAAAATTTATGTTTCGTTCGATTTGATGGGTTGACCTTTTTTATCCTAGACTCCATTTCGCCATCTACAAAATCGGTAAGCAACATCACCTTTATAATTTTTGTTATTTTATAAGCAAAAAATGATATCAAAATTGTGCACGCACCCAAACAAGTCTAATCGACTGTAAAAATTAAATAAAGACATCAAATTTGAGTGGTAGGAAAATCTCATCGGCACAACAAAATAATTAATCATAATACTTCATTCATTACCAAAACTATTCAGACAGGATTTTGAGTTCATAGAACATTTGATTTCTCTATAGAACAGATTGCAAGTAGTGCAGCATCAATGACACAAAAACTCGGTCAATCCATAGTGAGTAACCAAACATCGAACATTAATTTGGGTGGGTGGCAGTTGCACGGCTCATGTGGAATCAGGCAGTCGGGCGATACATGCACCCGACCATCCTGCTCACCCTCTTAAGCCTTTTACAGTCGAGCGGGACTGAACGGTTCGACTCGACCTTTACAAAATGCTCTTCCAGACGTACCAAAATAACTGAACAGTTCTCTTCATCCCTAAAGGAAAACAGTCAGTATGCTTTGTCTGCATAAGCCATGAGAATTCCTTCAGTTGTCTTTTCTTTCACAACCATAAAGGAGGAAAAGCTTACCTGCACCCGCACCCCACCCCCACATTCTATACATATTTTTCACAGCTTTCAGCATTCTCAAGAACACTCATTCTTTCATGCTTGTCTCCACTCTGACACATCCAACATTATTTGTTTAGTACCATTGCCATAATATATTGGCAAAATCTCCATTTATGAGTCCTACAATTATGCAAGTTTCTGCACCAAATTTACTGTGGGAACAGTTGTTTAGTTAGATCTCTGCTAAATCAAGAAGATTATAGGCTTCCATTTAAAGAATTCAAGCATCCAAAGACAGATCGTCAATTTCCAACACATCCATACCCGAGATTTTAAACTTTTTCCATGGGAAAAACTGGTGAAAATTCTTGGTTAAATGCAGTTAAAAGGGCTTTCAGATCTCCTGTCAAAGATAATGAGAAGAGGACCAGCAGAAGAGGAGAAGAACGTGAACAAGACGACGAAGAAAAGGTATTTATTCTAGTCCTAGAGTCACACATGATGACATGATCGGTAAGGAAGACTCGTTGGTATTAAGAAAGAAAATGAAACGACATTAGTTTGACAATTTGTTCGTTTTTTCGTGCAGAAGAGAGGAAAAAGAAGATGGATTCTGTGGAAACCATCCCTTCATGAAACCACCATACAACATACTGAAGCTAAAAACAAAACCTCTCCAATTAGCACTTCTTCCACAAGCAACGGTGCAACTTTGTTAAAGACACCTTTATCAGCAAATGCCGAATCCGAGCAGAGGCGCGGCATTGCAGTGGCGATGGCAATGACAGCTGCTGCCGAGGCAGCAGTTGCGACAGCACAAGCAGAGATTATTCGGCTAACAAGACCTAATTCCATTTCGGTCGAACAACGACAGGCTGCTGTTGTTATCCAGACAATCTTTCGGGGTTACCTGGTACGCAATAAAATACAGTTATAGTGTCTTTCTCTTTGTAATTCATAGACAGAAAAGTTATACTAATTCTGCTGTTCTAGGCAAGGAAAGCAATGCGAGCCCTGAAGGGTGTCGTAATGCTGCAATCCCTCATAAGAGGATACAATGTGCGGAAGCGAGCAAAGATGACTCTCCAGTGTATGCAATCTCTCGTCCGTGTACAAACTAGAGTATGCGATCAACGCAGGAGATTGTCGTGTGAAGGAAGCCGAAGTTCCATGTTTGTAGAGCCTGATAATGGAGGAGAATATCATATCTTAAACAGCAAGCCAATTGTGAGTACTTATGCAATCTGAATCCAAACCTTGAGTTCAGAATTAAATTACCTTATTAACATTTGCAAATTTTGATGCAGACTAGAAATGTAAGTAGCACTGCAGATGATTCAGAAGAAAATTCGTACACACATGAGGAAATCCAAGCTCTGATACAGAAAGCTAAAGATTTTTCACTGAAACATGGAAACACCCTTGCTCGTGCCTTAACTCAACAGGTTTTGATCTCTCTTTTTTCGTCGATTTTCTTGTTTTTTTCTGTGTATATCACTTCATACTGAATCGTTCCATTGTTCTTATTATAGATTTGGAGTGTGGACGATGAAGGACTTGAGTTAGAAAATGCCAAACGTTTTGGCACGACAATGGTGAAGCAATGTAATAGGAATGACAAATATTTGTGTGGAAAGGATACGATAAAGACTGTCGAAATTGACACTGATGGACCTTACTCTAACAGAGCCTCAAATATTGACAAATTGCAAGATCATCAGTATCATCAGGACCATCAAGAGAAGCCATGTTCATACCTGATTCCCTCTCCTCTCCACAGAAAACACGACGATTTCTCCCTCCATTCACCCAATATGTCGTCCTCGCCTAACATTAAGTCTAAAGTGCACTCAGTCAGTCCTCTTTATCAAAGACTAGAGAGGAACTATCAAACAGCCGAGACACCAACCTTACGCTCAAATTGCTTCCACAGAATGAGTGTAAGCCGTAACTCAGTCCCTGCATCTCAGCCAAACTACATGGCAACGACTGCCTCGGCCAAGGCTCGAGTCAGATCACAAAGTGCATCAAGGCATAGGCCTTTGACCCCGGAGAGGGAGAAAACCGGTTCAGTAAAGAAACGACTTTATTTCCCTGTCCCGGACCAGTGCAATGATATTGGCATCAATTGCCACATTTCAGATCATTACAGCATGAACACCCAAAGCTATAAAAACATTCATATGGTCCCATTTTGTGTTGAGCAGAGGTCAAATATTTCATCTTGTTGCACAGATAGCCTTGCTGATGATATTTCTTCATCAGCAACTTGTGATACAAGAAGATGGTTGAGATGAGCGGAGATGATTTCGGAGAGGAATGAATGTAAGAAATAGATTTATGAAGTTCCATTTACGAGTTTTTGTATGTATGTGATGATGCACAATATCCGGTAGTCGAAATGAAACTAAGCCTACGATTCCGAAGCTTTAAATCGACACATTGAAATTATGTTACTACTTCAATTATAAAATTTGCATTCAGCATTTTGATCCATCAAATACTAACGGTAAAAACACATATGGCAACAACAACAAACTAAATCTCGTTCTCAATAAATTTAGAGTCGACTAGATGGATCACTTTTTGGCACTCTATTAGGTTCATCGGTCGACCTCTGATAGAGTATCTAACACATGCATCCTAGAACTATATTCTTTTCCTCATTGTAGTATTCTACCGTGCATCAAAAGAAGTTGAAATGAATGCTTTAACTTTAGTAGGTTCTTTAATAAATTCCTTTAGGCTCATACTTTGGCGTCTTTTTCTATATTCTCCTACAAAGTACAAACATGTAGCTCGGCTCATATTATACTATAAAACTAAAAGGGACAGCTTTAATAATGTTCTCGAAAATATGAATACATCAGACAAGAACATTGATGTATGCACTTATGTATGTATAGTTTCTCGGTGTGAATACTCACAAATACCTAGGCTCCGTAGGATTTTATTCTATCATGATTTATATTCACCAAATTTCTTAATCAATTATAGGCTTGACACATTATTTTTCCAAGCTCGTGTTAGTATGGAGGTTTTCGAGAGTTAATTAAGATCCACATCTTCGTTTGAATCTTATGCATGTGTAGAGATTCATCTCACCCACCCACACCTCAAAAACGTTGCAATGATCATGGAGTAATTACACAATTATGGACTTGGCGTTTATACTACTTGTCAAGACTTGAAGTTCTATTCGAAAAGGTAACTTAATACATGGATTTGATTTATGCGAGGTTGAACTAACTTATCAAAAATTAAGTTGTAAGAGAAGAGTAGAAAAATGGTACTGATAACTTGAGGAAAAGATGATACTTCCTCTCTCTAAGCTAAAGCTTTATATTTTCAAGAAAAAAGAAAAGGCCATAAGCCCGATACTCCACCAGAAATTTTTAAAAAGATAGTCGAGCGCTCATACGAATGGAATCGTGGAAAACAATATTTAAATAAATGTATTTTCTTTTTAATGCTTACATTTTTAAATAAGATGCTTTGACATGACATCCAGGGGCGGATTGAGGAAGTTTTCCTATTAGCAAATGTATAAAAAATAAAAATATTATAACATGATCATTGTACTAAAAATGAAATACCTTACAATTGTTATTTACGAGTTTTCATACTTTGATATCTTTATACAATCACAATCTTTAAAAATGACATTATTTTATAGTCCATTCCCTATATAAAACTTAAATATAAAAATAATTCATAAAATAGTTTAAAAAAATGCCATTTTTTATGCTACTCGTATGTCTAGGTATATTGAAGAAAATAACACCATTTTGATGTGCATGCGAGTCAAGTTGATCCGTTAATCAATACGAAATCGAGCATTTGACGGACTAAATCAACCAAGAAAGAGGCCCATCTTCTGAAAATGGGCCTACTATTCCCCTTCCAAGTCCACACATGTTATTTTGAAAATCTATGCTTTTTGGAGCACGAATGTTTTATTTTTTATTTTGTCAGATTGAAATATTGTAAAAATCTATGCGTTAGCAACACGGTTATTGAAAAAATATTT